AATTAACCAACAAGTTTCATTTATAGCAGGAAGCAAATGAAGAATATATTAACATTCAGGATCCATAGAACATAAAGCATAGGGATCTTTAATTCATGGATGAATGAAGACGGAAGCAACATGTTGAACGTTGCATTTTTCCCTATAAAGTGATTTCTGTATCATATATTATTAAGTTCATACATAGCTGCAGAGCTTTTACTCAATTTTAAGGATTCCATCTGCTTCTTGTGCATTTTAACTAAAACACACACACACAGACACACACAAATGCTTTGTGAAGAGTTAGTGTGTGTAAGGTCAGCTAAGAGAAAATATTCTTCACATTCATTGTGGTAACTCCTCTATATCCATTTTATTGGTGGAAAGATTCTCCTTTAAAAAAGAGCTTAGTAAATTTCTGATTAAGCATATTTGAAAAATACTGCCACATTTATATTTAATGCAGCTCGAAGAGGATTTCATGCCTGTTCTCCCACTGAAAGGTTCTATTGCGCCTGATTTGTGCCAGAGATGATAATAGGCTTAAATTGTATTGTATTTTAAAAATTCATCAAATCATTTTCACATCTGTTCTCTTATTTGATTCTTTCTACATCCCTGTTAAGTGTGTTTTAATCCCTTTTTGACAAAGGAGGAAATTGGGTTGCTGAGAGGTTAGGTGAATTTTTACAAGACATACTGTGAGTGAGTGGAAGTCATGGATGTCACTCCCTTTCTAAGCTTCAGGATCATAAAGAGTGTTTTTGAGCATAAACATGGTTATATACTCCTGTATGTAGATACAAAGCCAAAATCACTAAGGAACTCTAAAAATATAAATGCTGGAACACAACAGGTAGAGTTTCCTGTACAGATCAGATGCATGGTCTGGTATTTATATTTTTATTATGACTTATATGTCACTTTGAGTCTGGCTAACAAATTATACTAGTCATTAATTCACACAATATTGTTCTTTTTGAATTTTATCTTTATGTTCTTTGGCTATTTTCCTAATAAGTTAATGAACTTTTTCAAACTTATTATTCTTTGCTTTGTGGTACAGTTACTGTTGAGCTAGTCAATTTATTGGTTTTTTTTAATGTTTATTTATTTATTTGAAAGTCAGACTTAGCCAGAGAGAGAGAGACAGACAGACAGGCACACACACACACACACACACACACACACATACACACACAGATCTTCCATCTACTGGCTCACTCCCCAGATGGCTGCAATGGCCAGTGCTGGGCCAGACCAAAGCCAGGAGCTTCTTCCGGATCTGCCCCATGGGTGGCAGGAACCCAAACACTTGGGGTATCCTTCACTTCTTTTTTCCAGGCCATTAACAGGGAATTGGAATGATCCAAGCAGCCAGGAGTGGAACAAGCACCCACATGGGATGCCAGCATCAAAGGAAGCACCTTAATGCAGTGTGCCACAATGTCAGTCCCTATTTGTATTGCTTTTTTGTCTCACATGGAAAGGTCTTTCTTCAGTCCAAATTTTTAAAAATCTCTAGATGAAAAAATGTTATTATTACAATGAAATAAAATTCACATATATTGAAGAAAATATTTAACAAACACAGGTGATGCCTAATATATCTCATAGCTAATGCCTCAGTATAGAGTGAAGAAACATAATTTTTAACCCAAAAAATTGCAAAGGTAGAAAAGTTTGATCCTAAGCATCATTATTAAGAATGAGAAGCAGCAGCCACTCTCATAACATGCTGGAGAAAATGTTATTAAAACAATGTCTTTGACAAAGATTGTCACTATTTCTCAAAAGTAAAAATGTATGTTCTCCTTTAACTAGCGAGATTATTTCTCAAGTTTACATAAATCTGCAATATGGTTATTTAAGAATACAAAAGCAGTAGTGCTTCCATTGGCAATGAAAGGAAAACATCTAAATACCTTTTCATGGACAAGTAGTTAGCCAAATTGTAGTACATAAAAGGAATTGTGATGCCTTTATGGGAAAAAAGCAACATTTTTGCTTGCTTATATGAAATGTTCTCCCCAAGTCTATTAGGCCTATTATATTTTAATTAAAGAGTAAAAGTAAAATTGTATATTATGTTCCCATTTGAGAATAGAAAGATATATAAAGGTGGAATGAACATGTATATGCTTGTAAATACATAGAAATTTCTATAACAATAAATTATTAGCTGTGATCTATTTGAAAAGGAATAAATTAAAGCCCTATAAGTAGGACCACTGTGGTGTAGAATGTTAAGCCTCCACCTGCAATGTTATCACCCCCATATGTGTGCTGGTTTGAGACCTGGCTGCTCTACTTCCAATCCAACTTCCTGCTAACCCTCCTAGGAAAGCAGCAGAGGATGGCCCAAGTGCTTGGGCACCTGTGCCCACATGGGAGACCTGGAAGAAGCTCTTGGCTTTGGCGTGGTCCACCCTTGGCCATTGTAACCATCTGTGGAGTTACACAACAGATGGAAAATCTCTCTGTCTCTCTCTCTCTCTCTCTCTCTTTCTCTCTTTCTCTCTTTCTCTCTGTCTCTTTTCTATCTCCATATTCATCCCTTTCAAATAAATGAATAACTAAATAAATATTTAAAGGAAAAAGACTTATGAGTACATTTTCATATCTGTTGATTATTTCTCTATGTTTGTGTTAATTTTCAAGTTACTATAAAATTCAAATACAGAATTTTAATGATTAACATCATACTTGGAAATTAAAACTTTAAATTATAAATTAGATCATTCCCAGTTTTTTTTTTTTTTGCATGTTATTAGGGTTTCAGTCATATCCAGTTGCTGTAACAAATCTATTTGTATTTCCCAAATATCAAATATATTTATTTTTTAAAGATTTATTTTATTTATTTGAAGGAGGCACAGAGTGAGAGAGAGACAAAGAGAAGTCTTCCATCTGTTGGTTCATTCCCCAAATGACCACAATGACCAGGACTGGGCTAGGTCAAAGCCAGGAGCCAGGAGCTTCTGGGTCTCCCACGTGAGTGTGTGTATCCAAGCACTAGAGTCATCTTCTGTTGCTTTCCCAGATGCATTACAAGGAGCTGGATTGGAAGTGGAGCAGTCAGGACTCAAACTGACACCCATATGCAATGCAGGTGTTACAGGCGGCAGCTTAACCTGCTATACTACAAGACCGGCCCCACTATCAAATATATTTCTGTGATGAATCTGTCATTTCCATTTGAAAAATGTAATTATAGGTTTGGGAAATATCAGTTAGCACCTTCAATCTGTATAATGCCCAGCAAGTGTAGGGTTCTGATGGAATTAGAGAGGGTTTTCAAAATACAAGAATGGGCCAGGGCCGCGGCTCACTTGGCTAATCCTCCACCTGCAGTGCAGGCACCCCGGGTTCTAGTCCCGGCTGGGGCACCGGATGCTGTCCCAGTTGCTGCTCTTCCAGTCCAGCTCTCTGCTGTGGCCCGGGAAGGCATGGAGGATGGCCCAGGTCCTTGGGCCCTGCACCCGCATGGGAGACCAGGAGGAAGCACCTGGCTCCTGGCTTCGGATCGGTGCAGAGCGCCAGCTGCAGCATGCTGGCTGTGGTGGTCATTTGGTGGGTGAACCAACGGAAAAAGGAAGACCATTCTCTCTGTCTCTCTCTCTCTCTCACTGTCTAACTCTGCCTGCCAAAAAAAATTAAAAAATAAAAAATAAAAATACAAGAACGTCAGGGTCGGCGCTGTGGCATAGCTTCAACATGATGATAGTATTTGTGTTTATTCTTTCTTTATTGCAAATGATCTAGGAGATTTACCTACTAACTCAGGATGCTATTAACTTTTTCACTCTCTTTTGGCTTCCAAGCAACCAATTTTTCAAAGTTGCAGGATCAATGTAAATGCTCCTATCTTTCAAGTCATGTCAAAGTAAATTAACATTTGTTTAGATAATTACTCTCAGCAGAGTATTTTAGTAGTGCTTATAAACCTTTTTCTAGGTGAAGAAGTTCTGAATATCTTCAAATGCAGCTGGAGTCCACGTAATGTTTTCTTTCTTTGACTTCTTATAGCATAAATTGTCCAAATAACGTATCTTGTGTTCTCTTATTGTTTAACATGACTTGTTCCACAGCCACAATCTCTGTGTTCTATTTTCCACTGCAGGTATCTAATTAGCCCTTGTCATTGTAACAGTACATTCAGAAGAACAGTGAAGGATACATTAGACTTAAAGAAATTTTCCAGGTTGCAATTCAGCCAAAAATATTCAGCTGCTAGCAAATTATAGTTCAGGTTGGATGTAACACAAAAGACTGATAAAGCAACGTCTCCTAGGTTAGAGTACTGTTACCATCTGAAATGTAATAGCACCCTCCTATGCCCAGAGACAAGAATGAATCAGCAGAATGTAGAAAATGACCCATTACTCAACAATCTATATTATTCTGTGTATGTGCATCTGCAACACATATCAAACAAAAGCTGAATATATTACTGGGTATAGGAATATCTATGCTAATAACTTTCTCCATTCATAAAGTCTAACTTTAGTATGTGTTTTATTTGAAAACAGATAATTTGTATGATTCCCCAGGTACCATGGAAGACTTATGATAGATTATCTAGACATTCCAACTCTCATTTGCAAAGAGAAGCCAACTTCCCTAGAGCAAACAGTTTTTCAGTGGTTTCTAGGGGGAAACAAGAACAGTTGCAAAAGGGTAGTAATGGAAAAACACCTAAAGTATGTATGCTAATTGTATCCAGCCCAGTGTCAAGTAATTTTAATGTCTTTGGTATACAGATTTAGATTCATTTTTTTAAAGTGAAGTCACTAAAAGTATCAAAAATTTGATTATGACATCTGTATATAATCTCAGAATCAGGAGTAAAATTTGCTATTTAGTGTGTCCTCCAAGATACCTTAAATACATTCATCTATGATTAAATATCTACACTTTTAATAGTTCAAAACCTTCCAATATCATACTGATGCATTCAGGTTTCCTGTTCATTTTCCATATCTGAAGCCCATGAACAATTTGTTCTTCTCCTGCAGGCAGAATTCACAGCCATGAGGGAGCAGTACATGCGAGGTGGGGAGGGCTTTATCATCTGCTACTCCGTCACTGACCGCCAGTCATTCCAGGAGGCTGCCAAGTTTAAAGAGCTCATTTTTCAGGTCCGCCACACCTATGAAATTCCCTTGGTGCTGGTGGGTAACAAAATTGACCTGGAACAGTTCCGTCAGGTGAGTGCCAATTTTATTTGTTGGCTTCTGTCTTTTCCTTTGAGGGTATGTAGTATCGTGTATGGCTGCTTTCCAGGGTTCAGAGTGAATTACAGTAGAGAAATAATGCAAATGATTTTTGTCCAAGAAATCTTCGTGATTCCATGTAGACTACACAGGGTAGCACAGTGTATCCTATCCCACATACTCTTTTGCTGTCTCTCTACCATTCTCACATCCTCCTGAATCCACAACAGTTTTATGATTGGTTTTGAGCAATATCTTAGAAGTGATTCTGTGTAACTCTCAGAGTTCCTTATCTTCTCCTACTTTTGTTACTTGAGGTGCACATTCTAGTTCTAGACACCATGTAAACATGCTCAAACTATTGATATAAAATGAGTCATGTTGACAAAATGAGACTTGGCTCATAGGTGTCTCTGCCAAGGCATCACACATATGGACAAAGCCATTTTACATGTCCCATTGTCAGCCACCTCTGACAGTTACATAAGATGTCCAAATCCATCCACATAAAACAGGAAACTCTCCAAGTGAGCCTTGTTTGGGCTTCTGATGGACAGAATCAAAGGTAAATAAAATGTAATTATTTAAGCCATTTTTCTTTGGAATATTTTTGTGCAGTATTAGATAATCAAAAAAAGACCCTTCTCTCGTTCCAGAATCAAAATAAGTCACCATTTCTCAATTTAAATCAAACATTTATCCTATCTATCTTCTTCAAGCTGCTCCTGCTATATCATTGTAATTTTCAGTCTCACAACTTCTCTAAAGACACAAATTTGAGAGGACAGAAGCTATTTCTAGCTTACACCGGTATCCACTACCAGTATTCAATAGTTCATGTACAGTTTATCCCCATCTGGTCAGAAATGGCTTATTCGATAGCACCTGATGGGCAAACTATGATGGCTTCTTCTCTGAGATATTAACATGGTAGTGATATTTTAGCTGCTCTGATTTAGTGACCAGGCAAGTCATTGCACCATTCCATTGTTAGGACTTACTTTGTACATAGTAACATTACTGAGATCTTGCATGCAAATCAAATTTTGGTAAATCTAATTTTCTAAATCGAGTTGCTTAGTTATAACTTTGAATGCTTCATTTTTATTGGCATTGACCTTAAATTTGAACTGGCTTTTAATAGTTTATGTCATTCCAGTTCATAATTTATTCTTGCTTAAAGAAGCCTGCTGGCCAAACTTTCCAAAGGTAGACATATTGGCTAAAACAAATGTTTTTCTCCTGTTGTGTTTTATGTTGTAAAGGTTGGATTTTCATACCTAATATATATTATCTTAAAGTGAAAAAATCTTATATAGAGCCAAAGTATATAAATTTGTGCTTAATACAAACATGTTTCTATGACTTTACACAACTTTTATGCTGACACTGTTGAGTACGTTATTTGAAAGTCTAATCATTTTGGAGAATCAGTTATTGTTTTAGGAGCTATAATAGTTGTGTATTCCATACCTATTCTGCTGTCTTGTTTTGTTGGATCAGTTTCTACAGAGCAATATTTAGTATGATGTGGTTGCATTTTTATGGGTTCAGAATTCAAGTTACTCTCTCTAGTTAAACATGATTGTGTTTTCAAACACTTGACAGGAAGAAAGAAGTATAGGTGTAGTGAATGAATTCTCTGAAGAGTAAGAATGCCTCACCTCCCTTTGTGCTTTTGCCAAGTAGTGCAAGGAAACTGTTTTTGACAAAAGTTACCCAGAATCTCTGAGAGTTGATTGCTCTTCATGATTCCAAAACTGACCAACAGTTGTGTCCCTCTGACCTTCTGAGCCTAGCTTTCCTGGTCTAGAAGATGGTCCTTAGTATTTCACAAAGCCATGTTCAACAGGAACCCTGTCCCAGACTGGCTAAGCCCCTTTCAGATTAACAATGAAGTGAATCACAAGTATCATAAAAGTTGTTGGAACAAATAGTTTTTAAAAAAGGCATTAAACTGAGTATTTTTGTAGATTTGATAGATCTTTTCCTTTTAAATAAATGCAAGTAAACATGACAGTCACTGGAAGTGGAAAAACCATTAAAATATAAATCATAATCTTTGTAAAAATGCTCAAGTACCAACATCTCTAATAATGAAGTGTTGATGAGCAAATTTCACTTCTGTCTGTGATGTTTCTGATAGAAATAATTACTCCTAAAAATTCAGAGTGTTTTTTCCTTTGCAGAATGATATCAACTCACACTTTATTTTAATCTTATAACTGCTCTGTGTAGGTGTAAAATAAGTATTTGAGAAATGAGGGTATTTGAGAAGTGACTGTATTGATAGAAATTGACTTTACTAAACTATTGCCATTTGTGACAAAACAAAGACTAAAGCATAGATGATATGTAATCTTTTTGTTTCATCAGTATGTGAAAGGTTAGTTCTCCATTTCTTCTCCTAAAACATGAAAAAAAGAAAAGAAAAGAAAGCAAAGATGCTGACAACTGGATCATCCACAGCTCAAAGGAATTTTGTGAGGAATACTAGAGAAATAAATTTGAAGTCTCAAAATTCCTGAAAGAACTGAAGTTGGTGTTTTTGGTTAGTGGCAAGGAGCAGAGAAGTAGGATTGACGCTCAGTCTCTTTCTGCTTCAGTCTACAAAGAAAGACTGAAAGGGAGGCTGGCGCCGTGGCTCACTAGGCTAATCCTCCGCCTGCGGCGCCAGCACACCAGGTTCTAGTCCTGGTCGGGGCGCAGGATTCTGTCCCGGTTGCCCCTCTTCCAGGCCAGCTCTCTGCTGTGGCCAGGGAGTGCAGTGGAGGATGGCCCAAGTGCTTGGGCCCTGCACCCCATGGGAGACCAGGATAAGTACCTGGCTCCTGCCATCAGATCAGCCCTGTGCACCGGCCGCAGCGTGCCGGCCGTGGCGGCCATTGGAGGGTGAACCAATGGCAAAGGAAGACCTTTCTCTCTGTCTCTCTTTCTCACTGTCCACTCTGCCTGTCAAAAAAAAAAAAAAAAAAAAAAAAAAAAAAAAAAAAAACCCTGAAAGGGAATAACTTAAAGTTGTTCCTTTCCATATTTGGTTGAGCAGATGGGATGGATGTATTCCTAAAGCATGTGGGGGAATCCCAAGACCTTTTCTACCAGAAATAAAAGAAAACAAAATTTTAGTGCTTGATGTTTTCCTTAGTGTTCAACTCCTTGAGCCAAACTGTATAAGGACTCTGCTTAAAAATTTTCATTTTGGGGCTGGGCATTGTGGTACAGTGAGATAAGCAGCTGCTCACATGCTCACATCCCATAACTGAGTACTTGGGTTTGAGTCCTGCCTCTGTTCTGATCCAGCTTTGTGCTAATGAGCTCCCTGGAAGGCAACAGATGATGGCTCAAGTACTTTCTTTCATGCCACCCACCTGGAAGAAAAGTTGGAGTTTCAAGCTTCTGGATTCAGCCTGACCCAGCCCAGGCTGTTCCTTGCGTTTAGGGAGTAAACTAGAGAATGGAAAATCTCTCTCTCTCTCTCTATGTCTCTCTCTCTCTCTCTCTGTCTCTTCTTACCTTTCAAATAAAAATAATTAAACTTTAAACTGCTGCTATTTTGTCTAAGAACAATATTAAGTTGTTGATGATGCCTGTAGTGTTTGCAAGGCTCAATGCCAGACATGCCCCACACTTTATTTCACTTACACTATAAGCCCATGAAGCGGGTTACTATATGACACCAATTTGCCTATGAGTCATCTGAGGCTTCAAAACATTTACTAATTTGCTCAAGGTCACACAACTAGTTAGAGCTGAGAGACAAAACCCAGTGTGTACTGATTCTGAAACTCACTATGTTTCACCATTGACCTATCAACCATCACTACTTAATCATGAATTTTTTAAAAAGCATAGATTTTTATTTATTTGAAAGGCAGAATTATCAAAAAAGAGAAAGAGAGATCTTCCATCTGCTGGTTCACTCCCTAAATGGCTGCAATAGCTGTGGCTAGGCCAAGCTGAATCCAGAAGCCAAGAACTCTATTCAGGTCTCCCACAAATGTGGTAGAGGCCCAAATACTTGGACAATCATCTGCTTTTTCCCTAGGCACATTAGCAGGGAATACGATTGGAAGGGGAGCAGCAAGGACTTGACCCAGAACCCTTATGGTATTAAGAACTGCTTAACCTGCTGTGCCACAATGCTGGCCCTATGAATTTGTTTTTTTAAATAAGTTTTAGGATTTTTTTATTATTCCCACTTTATTTTTCATTTTAATTTTTAGTTTTTTAAAAGCTGCAATGTGATTTGTAGTTACAATTCTAAGAACATAATCATATTTCCTCTCTCCTCCCACTGTCTTACCTTCTCCCTGTCTTTTTTTTAGTAGTTTTTGAGATAACATTTTAAAATTACATTACCGTACAAAAGCTTAATTTTTTATCTAATAATAAGTTTAACCAATAACAAGTAAAAAGACCCTAGTTTAGTGGGAATATATATAACAGCTACAATCAATAATTGAATGGGAACATGACCATGTCTTCTCAATAATGGATCCTAAGCAATAGCGTTTTACTGGCAAGTAAGAACAAGAGGATCAGAATGTTAATCTTTGGTTGTGAAGTGGGGATCTTTGGGCCCTGGATGAACAGTTATTAATACCTGGAGGTTAGGAGAAAGTGTGTGAAGAAAAATACAGGTAAGGAAATGAGGTTCAAAACTACCAAAAGACCAGCTGAACAGCTTTGTTTAGACTCTGTCCCTACTTTCTGAAGGTTTTTTTTTTTTTTTTAATTCCAAGACAGCAATTAGTCCACAAGCTTCCATGATCTTCTCTCTATTTACTATGTCTTCTACCATCACATTAGGAATGCGAGGTGGTAATTCCTGTCTCCCGTGTTTGTAAAACCACGACCAACTGTGCAACATAAAAATGGTGCTAGGAATAGAGTAAGTTCCAGGGATTTGGGATCAAGATTAGAAATGTTTTACATCAGCTGCAGACCCCAAACTGTTTTACCTGGAAGATGTTCCACAAGAAACCCCTAAATCC